TCAGTTGATCGCTAGCCTGCTGGTCGAGTGCATTAAGATTTACACATTTTTTTGCAGCCCTGCAGTTGGAGCAGAAACTTATCGACACAATGAAGTTCGCTGTGAGTTTCATGCTTTCCAGCTTCCAGGAGTGAAACAGTGCATTATTCTTAAGACCTCCTCTTCCCACCAAAGTGATGAAGGCGTCAACATTTTTAAGAATTCGAGCGGGTTCGATCGCTTTACACGGACGTTCAGAACCAAGAGAATAAAAAAATATTACTCTATGTTATAGAAGAGTCCAATTAGTTCCCAAGTTCAATTCAAGGATGATATACAAATCAGTTACAGATAATTCTCAGAGCGCAAATTCCCCCGAAGAGTCTCCGAAGACTTTCAAAAATTAGACATATTTTAAATAGCTCAGAAAACTAAAGATTGCATTTTTTCCAATCATTAAATTAAAAAAAAATACGAAGCATGATAACTGGTATTATTTTTCTTGATTGTTTCAAATTCTAGAAAGTCAGGCATTTACTTCTCGAAACCCTGAATATGGGCGCTACATATAATAGTAAAATTGTATATAAAAAAATCGGAAGTTACACTTTTTCAATCATCAATGGGATGAAAGTCTAATCATTTGGCCAAAATATATGTTCAGTGATAACTAGATGGGCATTATGACTGCAATTACAAAGTGAGCTGTTTGTTCTGCGGTTAACTACAATAATTATCCTGTACAAAAAATTTACCCACTTTTTTCAGTTATGATGGGTGATTCTTGCATTTTTTCGAAAGATATGTCACCGATGGATAAAATTTTAATGTTTATTATTACGGCAGAGGTGAGGGGTCATTAATTAGCACAAATGAGTTATTCGTAGTTCTACAACATTTCGTTATTGCTGAGCGATGACATCGAAGGGAATACCTTAGTCACTAAATATATCGAACATTTACGATTACATTTCTATTATTAAAAAGAAATTCACTACATGAGAAGGAAAATGACGCATTATTATAATTTTTATTTATTTATTTTTTGAATATTGTTGTTGCAGATTTTGTTCGCCACATTGATCGCCGTTTCGGCAGCAAATTTGGCGCCATACGCAATTAACCCAACCTTCTACAACGCACCTTTCGCCTACGGCTACAATAATGGACCCTATGCCTACGGCTA